ACTAAATTGAGACACTAGAGTACTATATAGATTCTATTATATGCATTTTATAGTCAGCTATATTTATATCGAAGATTTCCGAATGCATTTTCTAGCATTAGCTCTGCAGTCATAAACCAAATATGCATTACAAATGAAATCCTATCCGAAAATCATTTGCCTCAATCGATTAGCTGCAATAATTGTGCTGCTCTTGCTTAAAATTAATCATCTTCTTGGCCAATTGTTTATGCCAAACAAACTTGCTCAGTCCTAGCAGCGATTCTCCATGATTCATATACCTATAGAGCTATGTATGTATATATCATTATTTTATAGCCTTTCCAGCGTTCGATCGTTGACTTAATTACCTATCTTTGTATATACGTATCTATATATTGCTCCAAGACATCGAATTCAGTTTGAATCCGGCATGAATTTTACGATCCAGCGTGTTGCCATAGAAACAGCTTTTTTTTGTATATTTTCCTTAGTTCCTGGTTTGGTTAGACTATTCTCAAAACAATTGCTTAAGTGCTTGATAAGCAAACAAATCATCGAAAAGATTGTTTAGGCGGACGTGACTGGTTCATCTCCTGCAAGATGACGAGCTATTTCGGCTATTGATATATTTGGGATCGACGAAGATCAGAGATTATCAATGAAGTTCTTTGATCTGTTTAAGTATTATTAGAGATGATCAATTGAGCATAAATTACTATGATTTACTTAACTATCTCAGCTCATTTATTAAGTATACGACTCTAGATCAATAATTCAGTGCACTGATATGTTTGAAATTCAGGGATCAGGGATAAAATACTGTGCTTATAATTATCTCTCTTCTGTTTTAAATATGCTTGTTTATAATATTTCATATTTAATTTGAGATCTTTGAATATCAGAGATCATTCAATTACTTTGATCACTTATTATGTTCTAAGCATAAATCTTTTTGATTTCTACTTGCGGAACACAGATCTGATTATCACAAAAACAATATTGTTATATTTATATATTCAGATCCATGCTAGATCTAAGTTCAGGTCTATGCTCATAGCATGATCGTCTATTAGGTACTCATAACTTTTTGAATATCAATAGTTTCTCATATGGAGACACTTCAACCTATTCATGAATACTCTGGTCTATTTTAATATTGCCAAGCATATATGTATGTAAATAAGTTAGATCTTCTCCTATCTAGTTGACGATCAAAGATCATTCATCAAAGATTTTTATCTATACTTAGATATATATATATATATATATATATATATATATTTTTTTTTTACAGATAGATGATCATCTACCTTTATATCATATAGCATATAGTTATTGCTTATCCGGAATATAAATTGAGGCCTTTGCACCCACTTCACTATCAAAGATCAACTATTATTCATTTATGTCTATAACCTCTCTCTCTCTCTCTATCTCTCTCTCATATCACAGATCCACTCTTATGTGTCTTTCATCATAGAATTCCCTCTCCACTTACGTTCGACCGTTTGAAATAGTTTGGCCCCACCAATGTTGTAGAGGGCGAGTATTATCAGCAGAAACATGTGGGTGAACCATCGTCTGGACCACTTGCTGAACTTGTTGTAGAGCGAGAAGGTGAATTTCTCGCCGAAACTCAGGCCGGACTTTGTGAGATCAAGGAAGCCCTCGTAGCCTTTGGTCATGAAGTTTCCGGGCCCAAAGGGATTCGACATGGGCGGCCAATTGGGCGCCGTATAGTTGGTCATTGAGGTGTGCAGCTGAGCACTCGGCGGCAACGGAGAGGTGCCATACGTATTCTGGATATTGTGAATGTTGATGCGCGGCGGCCGATTGGAGCGACGCGACGGCGGCGGAGTGCTCGGCGTTGCAGTTTGTTGTGTTTGCATGATTTTAACAAATATATATTGTATATATATATATATATATATATATATATATATATATGTATTTACTTATTTAGTATGTGTACTTTCTTAGCTGCTAGAATCTCAGCACATGACACTCTTCACGCTCACGCTCTCGGCTAGTCCATGCGCTGGGCTAGCACATATTCGTATTATTTGAATTTCGATGGGTGCACAGATTTCTCGGATCGCTGCCGTCCGTCTCGTTCTTGATTTAAACTCAAACTAATGATGAGGCACCCAGCGTTCTGTGTCGAATCTCGGCGATGCGAGCGAGCGAGCACGGCTGTGACGACACCGTCTATGGATGGCAATCGCCATCCATGAGGTCATCATCGGCTGGCCGTGCGGCGCTTAGCGATCTCTTAACGATTTGTTTTTGTCTCTACTTATTATT